TTTTCACACGCAACATTTTCATTAACAATAATTTTTCTAATATGAAATTAATCTTGATGTGAACAGAGCTCACACATTGGTCATTGACTTGCCATAACATTTAATATGATCACTTAGAAAATTATACATGGAAATTTATGTAAGTGAGGAGCTTAGTTGAGAGTAGGGGTTCTAAAATCGGGAATATTCCCGAAATTCCCGTTTTCATACCAAAAAAAAAACCGACAATTCAAATTAGTTTTTTTTTAATTTTCTATTTTCCATGAAAAAAACTACAATTTAAAGAAAAAAATTATAATATTGAAAACATACGTTAAGGAATTTAAAAGTTGAAATATTAAACTCAAATTTGATGTTTTTTAAATCAAAAACATATATTTATGAAAAACGAAGAGAAAAAGTATTTAAAAATATTTTTTAAATGTATGATGTCTATAAAGTAATAAACTTAATTGACATTGGATTAAAGTAATTTTTCGCAGTAGATTGCTAGACCAGTTGAACTTGTACTTTAAGAATTGTTCTAAAACCAAAAAGAATTGAATTTCAAACGGAAATTATTGTCAAAAGAATCAATTTGACAGTCAAATCAAATAGAATTTAAAGCTTTTAAAATTTTGAATTAATACTATATATTTTTGATAATTTTCGATCATATCCATCAGTTCCACATCCATAGAACAATCCTGTTCAGGACATTGAATCATTTCAGGATGAATAAATACCAATTAAATTTGAATTGAATTGAATTCCACATTAATATGGAAGGTTAATTAGACTATGATCTTCAGTTTTTAATAGGTTTGGTACAAGCGGAGAGACGCGAATTTAACTTATGACTCTTTAAAGTCTTGCAAAATTTCATTAAAATTAAGCGTAAATATTCGCTTAATTAAAAGGTTTTGCTTTGGGTTCTACACTCAAACATAAAGAATTAAGCTTATTTAAGTTAATTATAAGCATTAGAAAGAAAAATTAGAAGTGAAAAGGAGAAAAAATTTAAGAAAAAAATTTGTTGTCATTTTGTAAACAAATTTATATTCATCTTAGAATCGAAATTTTGTGAATTACACAACATTTTGTAATGAGATATTTTTACAGGACATAAAACAACTCATGTTCTTCAATTTTGCATTTAAAACATATAGTTTAAAAAACTTGTTAATTTTGAATTTTTGAACAATTTTTTCAAATCTGAATCATTGTGAATTCCATGAAATAGTTTCATTGTTTACATTTAAGTTTGATCCAAGTCTATTAAGCATGAAATATTAATTTTCAAATATTTCTTTGTCCTCTTATTTTCTTAATGTTTTACTCATCTTAAACTATTTTTCATCCTAAAATGAGTAATTCTAATTAGTTAAACATTACTTTAATGAAAGATACATTGAAAAAATATAATTTTAAAATTTTGAATTTTGTATTTTTTCACGGAATAAATCTCTCCGTTACTTAGTAACATTTTTTAAAGTCACATAGAAATTAAAATTGTAGCTTAATTAAGCACTTTTGCGTTAATATAACGCTAGATTTTGGTAGCTTTATTATCAATCTTTGAGTTGTGACAGTCTTTATTATTAACAATCTGCGAAAAAGAAAGAAAAATCACTTTAAGTGAGTCTCCAAATTATCTTTTCTTCGATTGTGTTACTAAGTAACGCCAAAAGAATTGAAATAATTCTTTAATTAACCACTTTAAGCAAGAAAATTTCAGTCCATTAAGTAGAAAATGATGTTTTAAATGGCCTACGAAATACTTATTTGCAGGAGAATAGTCTAAAGATGTAAAAAATCAATTTGGAGAAAAATTTGTAGATAAATCGTTTCATGGAATCGCCCATAAGCTATTTACTGAAACATGAAGAAATACCGTTTTTTTTTCAAAATTTTACCGAAACAAGATAATTAAATGCAAAATATCCGTTAAAAATGCTCAATTGTAAATAAATGTAAACAAACGATTGAAATTGACATGAATAGGAGCTGAATACACCCTTAATTAACGACAGAAAATGTGAAATCACAATCAGTCAAAAAAGATCAAATTTCTCAGCAACCTTTGACTTTTGATTTTTTCACAATTTTCTTCAGTTTAATTCTTTAAAGACGTGTTTTTAAATATTGTTGCAAATCGGTGCAAATAAATTGGAACTTGACATTATTAATGCTTAAAAAGAAGTGGAGTACAAGATAAAAGTGATAGTGAAGTGCTAAAATCGAAACAACAGTGAAAATAAGCCAAAAGTGGTGAAAAAATAAAAAGTGAAGAAAAAAATGAAAAATTTTGTGAGTGAACATTGAAAGTTAAGAAAATTAAATTAAAGAAGCTGTAAAATTGAAGTGAAAGTGAGATTGATGAAGCTTGAAGGAACAAGGACACAATTAAAGAAGCAAGAGGCTAGTGACAACGAAGAAAAAGCTAAGTATACTGATAACTAGGACATTCAAGGGCGACTTTAATTTAATTGATCTACGTCATCTGAAACACATTCAGATTTTCAAATTGCTTTTCTTTAATGAAACCAGCCATTTGACTTCCTGCAATTGCGTACGTAATGCTTGCAATACGTGAAATGATTACTTAAAAACGCATTACATTGAGTTTTACATTTCGTCAGCCTTTGTTGATGTAAATTAAGAGTGGGAGTCGTTGAATAGGTCAGAGGGGGGTCGATGCAAGATGAGGAGGGGTAAAACTTGAGGGAGCAAAGTCTTTTGACCCTTTTTTTAAAAAGTTTTTCTGTTCTTGTGTTTTTTTTTTTTTTGTAAATCGAGCCTATGAGTCATGTGTTTCTGCCTGTGAGACTTACTATCGTGGCTATTGATTGGTTCATCCTTGATGTAGAGTGGCATCAAGGACATTGATTGCTTGCTCGTAAAAGAGACTTGCAATTTTTTGTCTAGATGCCTGTTCTCACACACAGCATTAGACTTACATCAGGTCCAATGACGTATCGTGTAGTTTAATGTGAAAAATGAGCCTCTGATGATTTGGGTTGTAATCAATAGAAGCTTAATTACAAGCGTCTAACCCTAACCCTAAATTGTGGTTCTTTTTCATGCTCAGGTGTGTGGTAAAGAACGTTTTTGCCTCTATCTCGGACTGTTCTGATTCAAAGCCTGAAATGTGAGCAGTAATGGAATGAAAACACGATTGATTCATTTCCTTGGTTGAAATTAAACTTGATATGATTAACTATGAAAGAAGAACCATCAAAAAATTTGCTTTCTCAGTTTAATCTCTCCTTTATCTTGCATCAGCTTCTCCCTTACCTGTCCATCGACTTCCATCTTTAATTTACATCGAGAAAGAGCAAACGCAACGTAGAACTTAATGTTGTGTGATTTTACTTAATCATTTTACGTAACGTAGGCTTTACGTGAGCCTTTTTGAAAGTTTTTCTGACTAATTTCCAACAGAGAAAGTGAATTTGATATCATGAAACTTTAATTTATACAGCAAAACTTAATTAAGAATTAAATTTATTTTTATTTTACTAACTCTAATTAATTACTAAACTAATTTTTTAAAATTGCCATATATTTTAGGTTATTTAAGGAGCAGCACTTAAAGCCATCATAAAACATTTCATATGTTGTGTTATTTTCTTCACATTTGAACAATTACTCATCGTTCACACACAAGTAAGCACATAGTATGAATATTTGATACAAATTGGATTTATATAGACTTTTTTAACTGACAAACTACAGAAGAATTGTCTTGACGATGGTCAATCATAGGGGTTCTAAAATCGGGAATATTCCCGAAATTCCCGTTTTCATACCAAAAAAAACCGACAATTCAAATTGGTTTTTTTTAATTTTCTATTTTCCATGAAAAAAACTACAATTTAAAGAAAAAAATTATAGTATTGAAAACATACGTTAAGGAATTTAAAAGTTGAAATATTAAACTCAAATTTGATGTTTTTTAAATCAAAAACATATATTCATGAAAAACGAAGAGAAAAAGTATTTAAAAATATTTTTTAAATGTATGATGTCTATAAAATAATAAACTTAATTGACATTGGATTAAAGTAATTTTTCGCAGTAGATTGCTAGACCAGTTGAAATCGTACTTTAAGAATTGTTCTAAAACCAAAAGAATTGAATTTCAAACGGAAATTATTGTCAAAAGAATCAATTTGACAATCAAATCAAATAGAATTTAAATTTGATTTAGCTTTTTAACTTTTTTTTTTGTTGATTCCCGAAAATATTCCCGTTCCCGTTCCCGATTCCCGAAATCTTACATGAACGGGAATTCTGGAACCCCTAGTTGAGAGTAAATGTCTAGTCGACAAATAAATAAAGTTAATGACTTGGTCATTGACATTTTCAAACTGTTTTCGACGGGTAATTAACAGTGTTTACTAGTGCTGATGATAATTAAGAGCAAAAATTAGTTTAGTAATGAGTGAGTTGATTGAATTTTTGTGAATTTGTGTCAAGCTGATGCTACGAGATGGATAGTCCGAAACTGGCAAGTTCGGCACTTTAGTTTATGCAATTTCAATATCTCCCGGATCCAGCATTTCCCTACCAAACGCACATCTCTTTAGCCACAAAAAACAATTACTTCAGATTCTATTTATAATTTATCTACCCAAAAACAAATTTTTATCTACAGCTGTATCTATGTTCATGCCATACGTAACGGAATGTGTACTTTGCACATGAAATATTATAAATTCCGTGATGATCTCATTATCAATGTTTAGCAAAGATTATCGGATTTTTTTGTTTAATATTTGTTTATCTCATTCACAATATCTTGCGAGAACTCTCTAACTACAAACTCTGATGTGCTAATCATCAGTAAGCTTGTGAGTAGTGACGTAATTTAGTGATCTAGATCTTAATATTGAGCTGATATTTCCGACAATTTTGAGTGTAGAAAGTATAACCAGCACAGTTCTGTTCATAACAATTTCATTAATGCTCAAAGACAGTTCATTCACACAAAATATGAAACAAAATCGACAACTCACCTCATTTTTGGTAACACGATGACGTGCCAATTTGACAACAGCAAAATTTCCTTTCCCAATTGTCTTCTCAATCTCATAGAAGCCAACACGAATTGGCACTTTACTCTTGGATGCGTTATTACCGCCTGTTAAATTACTAGCATTTATTGGCGACGTCATCGTTGTTCCATTTTGTTGTAAATTCAATGCTTTCAATGAATCATGTCCTGATCCATTTGATGACGATGCAGATTGATTTGGAACTGGTGATGGTGTTGAGGATGTTCCGGATGGTGGAGGGGTTAAATTTCTTGATATTTGCAGACATGTTGCAGCTTGAGCAGCTGCATTTGCAATCACCATGTCGCGTTCACCCATAATTTTAATTTTTTTAATATTTTATTGAATTTAAAAAATGGAAATGAGAATAAGGATGATGTTGATGGGACTTCTTTTTTCAAATTAATTGAATTCGAGAGGATTTTTTTGGGTGACAATTAAATTCACAAATTTTTTCTGTTCTTAATTCAGACATTCACGGTATTAATTCTCATCAAACACTTAACTTTACAGTCTTTATAACAGTTATACAAAATCTGACATTTTTAAGTGCAAAAATTTTTTTTGATTATTTTCTCACAAAAAACTTATTTTTATTCTTCCATGAGTTTACACTTCACTGATTCCGATTATTTATTCTGTGAATAAAGAAGAGAAACAAAACAAAATAATACATTATAAATAATGAGAAGGGATTAATTGAGATTGTTGTTTTGAATGATAAGAAGAAATTCGCTGAAATACTCTCGATAGATTTGTTTGGAATTATTTAAGTGCTTAGATTTGAACATTGGAATTCAATTTGATTAAATTTTGACTAGGTTTAGTGATTTAGTTTAATTAATTTTTTACTACAAAATTTCTTGAGAATTTTAGTTTAAAACTAGTTTTTAATACAAAATTTGATTTAAGAATATATAAAGATTGCTCTAAAAGTTTTGAATTACTGAATTCGAACATTTAGCTATTTAGAATCAACTTGAAACTTTCTATTATCAAACTTTGCATTATTCAAGATATAAAGATTAACAATATGATGTTCTTAAACTTAAATTAAGCTTCAAATTTAAATATAATTTCAAATCTAAAATTTTGAAAACAAACATTTGCACTCAAATTCAAACCTTCCAAATCTCTATCGAGAGTGTTTTTATGAATTTCTTTTCATTTTCACGTAAAAAGGAATTTTCTTTAGAATTGAGAAATGTAAGTGTCAGACGATAAATGAAATTGCATAAAACTTTTGCCCCTATTTAAAAGTTTTCTTTACATAAAAATAGTTTTATTTATCAAGATTTTATAAAACTTTTCAATTTCCTTTATTACTTTGTAAACTCTGGAAATTTAAATAATTTCATCTGTAAAGATCCAAATCACTTTGAATCTCTTGATTTAACCTAGAGTTTTCTCGCACATGCTTCTAACTCCCACACCATCCAACACACATTTTAATCTAATAAAGCAGGTCAGATTTCACATCCATCCAATTTCTATTCTTTTCCTCTAATTGCCTGAAGATAGATTGGTGGAAAGTTTAGTTTTCATTTCATACAATCATGACTTTATCAGGCATGTACAGTTAGTAGACAAGTAATATATGCTGCTTGTGTTCATAGATGGATGATTGCACGTTCCAATCGGTTTGATTTTGATTTTTTATGTGGGAGAAAAAGTTCTATTTGCGTTGATGTGTGCTTGTGTAATTTGATTGACTGAATTGAGAGGTTTCTCCATTGGAATTTAAGATAAAATGATGGAAACTAGAACAGAATGAATAAGTTAACAAGCATTGTGATTAGAAGAAAGAAATTCAAAACTTTTAATCAGATTTCGATTAAATTTCTCTTAATAAAATAATTGAAGTCAATCTCTGTTATTCATTACTGACTACATTAAATCTATCCTTAGCTTGTTGCTAGATGAGATGAAATTGTAATTTTTCTTCTTACAACTTTGAATTCTTCGTATTCAACAGAAAATATTTGTTGCTTTTCCTAGAACTTTTCCTATATTTATCTTTCTTGTTTGCATTGAGGAGTTGGGTAAATTTTAAAGCTTTAAGAAATTTGAACAATTCTTAAATCATTTTTAGCAGAATCCAAATTGACATATACAGTTTCCAATAAAATTTCTGAAAATGTCTTATTTGTCTGTCTGCCATACAAAATTCGAAATTTCATACTCTGCAGTTCGAAATTTTCGAATTAATCCACAAGTAAAAGTTTTAATTAGTATAATTGATGATCATCAGTTCCCTAACATTAACTCCAATTTATGCTGAAAAGTGATCAATTAAATGTCACAAAAAATTTCATTATAAGCATTACAAAAAGTTTCTACATATTCCCCATCTGTTCCAAGTTTTAATGAAAATCTAATAAGTAATTAGTTTAGCAGGCTTAATAAAGAATATAAATGAGCTTCAGATCATGTAGATGATTCTCAAATTCTAGTCGAAAAGCCACCCACACAAAGAGTTTTTCCAAATTATCGATTTATTGTTTCCTCGAATTGTCAACATCGATATGGAAAATATATGAGTTTGATAAGGTTGAAGCTTGAACAAAAAGACAAGGGCATGGACATATGTTGTGTTTCAAACAATTGAACTTGAAAATTGAAGAGAAAATCCATAAGATTTGGGGGAAAAAAATTGGCAATAAATTGTCATGATGTGTCTGAAATAAATTTTCTATTGCCAATGAATTTTTGGCTGTGTCTAAAAGTGATGTTTAAGGCAGATTCAGAAGAAATCCTGTTTCCGATGCATGACATTGGGGACTTGCTTTGAGTTTTACATCCCTAAGATATACTCCAGAAACCGACCCCAAGATTGATCATCTTACAGCTCAAAACTCATAATACACCACTGCTTAGGACCTTCATTTTCCTATCCAAAATATCCATAAACATAAAAAACAAATATCGACCCACATGCTCAGTTGCCTCAACTCTCTGTTTTGTTTTGAGAATCTGCAAACACTCGAAGCTTCGATGGATTTTCATACTTCGCAGACTTGAAATTTTTCACACAAGTGGAAGCTAATTTCTAAATACAGCATGTAATTTAATGCTTAAAATAATATCAAGCTTGCAGATTCAAACACGTCTACTTTTAATGCTTCTGCTGCTTCCTCTCATGAGAAATCCCTTAAGATCCTTTTTTATTGTGTATTAAAATGATAATGTCAATGTAATTTCTAAATGGGATTTTCTTTGAGTACTGATGTGCGTAGGTGGATAACTGCGTTGGCTAGAACAGCTTAAAGACTTTCCTTGCTTCTCGTTAACCGAATTTTTCTTCTTTTCTTGTGTTCTTAAGACTCAATTTGGTGAAAAAATAAAATGTGCATGTAGCCATCGAGATTTCTGTGTAAAGACTGAAAAGCCTCGAGATTGGCAATGAAATTGGCTGACTTATTGATTATTGTTAAAGACGAAAATGTTGTGTTTAATGGGAATTCAGATGAGTTTATGATTTTGTAGCATTTTTGAGATTTCATGCTGTGCCAAATAAACATCGACTCAAATATTCATAAATCAAGTCTAGGATCGAGAGCTTGGCATAGTCGTCTCGTCTTCGATTGGGTTTTCGAATTAAGGGCTCGCACTGAAACTGGTTGTATGTATATGACGGATAGCCAAAGTGAGATAAGTACCTCGGTGGTCGAATGGCAGGGATATCTGATCGAGTGGTCAGAGATCGCCTCTTTTGAGCTCGTGGGTTCGATTCCCATCAATCCCAACTTGTTTTACATATGGCAGGTATAGGGAGATCTACAGTTTTCCAAATACATTAACAGAGCAATCAGCCATAGATGTCATCACAATTGACATAATCATCACCCAAATAAGATTTTTTCGTCTGGTCATTCATCTCATTTTATACTCAATTTTCTACTCAAATAAATCCAAAGTAAAAAAATGCTGCGTCACAATAAAAATGTGAATGGATTGCTGAAACCATATCTCAAGGGAGACACAACTCAAATTTTTACGACTTATGATTTTTTACGAGTTCAAGTTTATTTCTATTGTAAAATTCCTATAATAATTTATTCAAAGATTTATCGTCAAAACTCAAAGTTCTCATGGACTTGAATGTGAATGGATGAAAATAGAAATTCATGTCGGGTTGAAAGGAAAGGAAAAATATTCGTGTACTTAATAATGCCTCATCGAAATCAATAACCATAGCCGACCGAGTGTCTCTCTCGTATGACGTCAATAACTTGTGAGATTCATAATTATTGATAGAGCGGGTGAGAGCCATTGTCATAAAAAAATCAGATGCTCTGCTTTCTCTTCATTAATTTCCTGAAGTTCAATTAAAATTCAATGAATTTATTTTCATAAAAATCAACAATCAGCAGCATAATAGTACTCGTTGCATGCAGATGCAATTCAGACTGATTATACGTCAGGAATTTTTTTTTTTTGGCAACAAGAGGAGTCAGTGCTATGCTTTTATAATGAAATAGTATCTATATTGTGGAATCTTCTGTCTGGGTTTGTGGAAGGTCTATGTCGATGCAAGTTTAGGCTACATACTAGATACTGAAAGTGCTACTTAGGTAGAGGTTTGTTTTTGAATCCCACTAGAGAGTAGTCATTTAAACAAGATTTTTGTAATAATTTTACATGAGTCTTAAGCACTTAGATCTCAGCGCTTCAACTTAAGTGTCCTTGGAAGTCAAATACAAGTTTGAATAATAATTCGTAAAGTCAAAATTATCAGTAAAACAGAAATTATAATAAACAGTTCACAAATGCCTGAATCGTTTTTTAAAATTAACACAAAGCAAGCCTGGAGCAGCTGCATGTCATTCAGTTAAAGATAAAGTTTTTATGCCTTCTTTCCGACACAATTTTTAATGTACATTCACTGCCTAATTTACGTAAATAAAAATTGCTATAATTTAATTCAATTTAAATAAGAAGTCATGAAGATAAGTCGTGCTGTATGTCACACTTTTTCATATACTTTGAATCTTAAATGACGTCCGTAAATCTGACTTTTGCCGGCATAATCATAGTCACGCTTCCAGCAGCTGATTTATTTGTAAGAGAATTAAATTAAAAATAATGTAGATTACGTGCTGGCAATTAATTGATAACAAGTTAGACTCTACTCAGTCTTACATCTACTCAACCTCCTCCCCCGCACATCACATTTCTTATCAACTCTTTTTATTTTTCAATTGCGTAAATTATTATAAAAAAATTATTGAAATTAATTTTTGTTGTCATAATCTTGCGTTAGTCATATGATTGTCATTTTAAAGACATCTTGACCTTGGTAATCAAACTTGATTTTCCAGTTTTTATTTATAGAAAAAAAAAATAATATTCTCTCTAAATTTTCATGACTTATGTTCTTATATATACTTAATATGAGAGAGGAATGGAATTGTTTTGATGATTTCGCAGTTTATTGGCTTCTTGATTGAAGAGAAATCGACATCAAAATAAGGCACGTGCTAGACTCTTGAGAAGGATAACTTCTTTATCGTCCCGAATGGCACAAGTCGGTTAGTCAATCAAAAATACGGTGCGAATCTGATGTGACTCTGGCATGGTGCTGGATTTAAATGGAAGCCAGAGTCATGTCGGCTATGTGCCTCATTTTAAAAATGTA